CTAACAAAGTTGTTGTTGATGCATTGAGTTCAGGCAGGTGGTTAGTTGATTGGCATTCTAGCAACTCCCTCCTACAACACCCGGTCAAAAAACAAGTTAATCATGGCCAACCAGGAACTTGACGCGAGTGTTATCGATCCTTCGAGAGAGGTGGAAGAGTTGGATGTTAATGTGATGAAAGAAGAGATGTATAAGCTGAAACAACAGATGGCCTAGATGTATCAAGCATGGGCAAAAAAAGGCGCCCGATATCAACCAGAATCCATTGCCGGCCAATCATGAGACAAATATGATCGAGATAGTGCATAAGGGAGGGGAGCCTAAGAAGCCTTCACAGACCGTCATGATGATTCGGTCCAGTGAGGTCAGGCCGGTTGAAAGTCAACAAGTGAGAAATCAGTGATCAGGTTGAGCGGGACAAACAGTGAACCATCTGCGGTAGACAAGAAAGGGTCCTCAAGTGAGGTTGCAACGAAACAAGAAAGGGCAAAAGTGGTTGTGCCAGGAGTGTCGAACAAGCTTGTAGTGATTGTGGAGGGTGCCCACACAGACCCTGTCATTGTCAAGCCAGGCGCGGGGAAGCGCCCAGTAACAACAATTCCTAGTTCTGTGGTTGATCTTGATAAAGAGTTGATTGAAAGGTTCGAGAAGATGTTCGACGATATGAACATGGTTGGAGAACGTTCTAACAAGGTGGATGTGCAATTTTTCGGGCCAAGTGCAAAGATTAACAATCGGGAAGTTCTCCTCTCCCTACTTGGAGGGAGTTTTGGTAGTCGGCTTTGATTTTCTTTATGTTTTTCTGGATTGTTCCAGGGTCGTAATTCAGATTCTGTGTTTCGTCCGTTTGGATGTGTTGAACCTTGTTATCTTTAAATTCAATGAAATGCAATTTCCCTTCTTCTTCACTCCTAATAGTTTTATTTTTATTTTTCTTTTCTTTCTTGTACAGTTCTTTCTATGCTGGTTTCAATGACATGACATGCATGAGGAATCTTCGGCCCAGTTTTAAAAGCCAAGCTAATTCCAAAAAGTTGAAATCTCATCCCTTCGGATTGTTGCGGAAGCCGAAATTGATGAGGATGAGTGGGTCAGAACCCGCCTGAGCAATTGAGTTTGATCAATGAGAAAGGAATGACAGCAGTGTGTCATGGCCAATTGTATCAACAGAGAATGGCAAGAGCATATAATAAGAAGGTGCGTCCATGGAAGTTTGAAGTGGGTCAGCAAGTGTTGAGACGTATCCTTCCACATCAGGCTGAGGCCAAAGGCAAGTTCGCCCCAAATTGGCAGGGGCCATTCATCGTGACGAGAGTGTTGTCCAATGGTGCTTTATATTTGACAGACATAGAAGGCAAGTGTGTTGAAATGGCCATCAATTCCGATGCGGTCAAGAGATATTATGTATGATCTTCTTTGTTTTAATTATATTTGTTTGTACTTGGCATGTTTTGAATGACGAAGGCATTTTGTTCTGCTATCCAAATACTTTATCCTTTGTTACCCCCTTTGAGCCTCATTCATTTTCTTTCATACCCCTCTTTCGGAATCAGTAGCAAAGATCAGAAACACAAGCGTGAAAGATAAGTCAAGGAAAAAGAGAAAAGAAAAGAATGAAAAGAGAGAGAAGGAAAAAGGAAGAAGAAAAGAAAGAAAAAGGAAGAGAAAAGAGAAGAAAAAGAAAAAGAAAAGGAAAAAAAACAAAAAAAAAACAAACAACAAAACAACAAAAAGAGAAAGGAAGAAAGAAAAGAAAGGAAGAGAAAATGGAAGAAAAAGAAAGGAAAAATCACAACAACAAAGTAATTCCTATGACCTGAACTACGTTTGACTTGATTCCGAAAGGATACGTAGTCAGCCTCTCTCTGAGGTTCAGTCACACCAAAATAAAAGTCCAAAAGTCCCCAAGGAAGAAACTGGGGCAGAAGTTGTGGTTGTGCAAGAAATTTGATTCCGAAAGTTGTAGTTTTAAACCCACGTCGAATTGTTTTTGAGCCTTTGATACCCTTTCTTTCTAACCCCATCCAAAAGCCTGCACTACGGTCCAAAGAAAGACCTTCTGATCAGTCCTCAGGGAATGCCAAGTCGAGCAAGAAGAGGTGATTTATGCTAGGGACAACACTCCAGTCCAAGCAGAAAATGTGATGAAAATGAGAGAGTCTTATTGGTGAAAACCCTCACGGGCACTGTTAGGCGACATGAGCTGAGAGAAATGAAAAAATGAGAGAGTCTTATTGGTGAAAACCCTCACGGGCACCATAAGGCGAAAGTGAGTTGAGAGAAATCAAATGAGATAGGACTGTGGGTGAAGACCGTTCAAGACACTACAGGATGAACAAGGTTAGGGTTTGGTTGAAGAAATCAGGATTATGGAATTCTGGGGCAACAAAGCGTGGCAGGATAAAGTTGATTGGTTTGGCGGATTGGGCCGATTAGTCCGAAATGCATGTCATGATCAATGGTACCAGTTGTTCCACTCAGATAAGTCCCTTTTCCTTTTCTTTCTTTTTTGTAAATCGTCCAGTTATGGATTCTTTTATCCTTAACTCTCAAGGTCATTGCATTTCATTCCTTTTGAGGTTCGTTCTTCGAGATGTTCCAATGTCAGTCGCGTTCAAAACAAAGAAGAAAGGATGTCGAGGCTCACTACCAGTCTCCCAATTGCAAAAGCATAGTGGGGCCAGAACATACCAAATATGTCAAAATGCAAAGTAAGACAAAGGATCATCGAAGGTTTCGTCGGTGGATTGGCCAGATAGTTTTGTGAGGAAAGGCAAAGTTACAGATAAAGGGGTCAGAAATGTAAAACAACAGGATGAGATAGAACACTTAGGTCATCAAAAGTCATGGGGATTTTGAAAGTCTGTCAGAAAAGCAAACGGTTAAGGGCCAGTTCAAGAAGCAAGGCAAGGCAAAACACAGCAGCGGAGACGCCTTCAGCAGGAATGCCATCAATTGACCACCATTTTTAAACTGACAAGATTTTTCTTGATTGAAACACGGGCAGAAAGTTTTCGTTGGTTTCGGAGAAACCCTCCTTAAGGGATAAAGCAAGCACCAAAACAGCCACCAAACTGGGACAGAGAAATTTTCTTTGTTTGTTATTTTGTTGAAGTTAGGCGCCCACCTGGAGAACAAGGGAATACTTTTCAAGTTCAGCAATCAGGCGCCCACCTGGAGAACAAGGGAATACATTTCAAATTTCAGCAATCAGGCGCCCACCTGAAGAACAAGGGAAGTACAATTCAAATTTTAGCTTTCAAACTTTTAATATTTGATAACATGATGCGCCCAGCCGCCAAATTGGGGCAAAAAATCTTCTTTGTTTGTCTGTTTTGTGGAAATCAGGCGCCCACCTGAAGAACAAGGGAATACATTTCAAGTTCAGCAATCAGGCGCCCACCTGGAGAACAAGGGAAGTACAATTCAAATTTTAGCTGTCAAATTTTTAATATTTGGTAACATGACGCGCCTAGCTACCAAACTGGGGCAGAAAATTTTCTTTGTTTGTCTATTTTTGTCGAAGTCAGGTGCCCACCTGGAGAACAAGGGAATACATTTCAAGTTCAGCAGTCAGGCGCCCACCTGGAGAAAAAGGGAATACGTTTCAAGTTTAGTAGTCAGGAGCCCACCTGGAGAATAAGGGAATACATTTCACGTGTTAGCAGTCAGGAGCCCGCCTGGAGAATAGAGGCATATATTTCGAATTTCAGCAGTCAGGCATCACTCGGAGAATGGCAGAACATCTCCGATCATAATTCAAGACAACAACGTCAGAACTCCATCAGAAGGATACAAGTTCAAGTCAACAAGAACCGCAAGATGAAGACATAGATAGGACTCTTTGTAATTCATAGATCATAGCTTAGTCTAGCTTCTTTTTATTTCGACTTGGTGTAATAAGGAGGTCAGCAAGCAGTAACCGCAGCAACAGCAGTGAAATCACAGCTCCTGGTAGTCCCAGCTACCAAACCTTCCCGAACTACACTGACCTGATTCCTTTTTAGCCCAGGATATGTAGGCAACCTCCGAAGCAGGGTGCGGTCAACTCTTTCAAAAAATGCTTCACACGGAATATTCAAACGGGCTAAAATTGCTCGTTTCCGCTCACTTATCTTTGCACGAATACTCTTCGTGTTTCCGGGCAAAGAGGGGCAGCTGTGAGCACGTGATTTTTGCCCTATACAAATTATTCCCAGAAATTCAAACAAAATGATTTCTTTCATTATTTTACAATTTCGTGGATTTTTGTAACATTTTTATGTTAGTTGTTTGCATTTTATTTTGTGCATTTTAATTAGTGAAAAATACAAAAAATACTTGGCATTTGCATTTAGGGTTTAGTTTCGCCTTTTAGGATTAATTAGTAACTGGGTCACTTTACAAAGAAGAAAATAACAAAAATAATTCATTTTTGCATTTTTAACTATTCATTTTGAATTTGTCTTAGTTTACACTTAAATTAGGAATTATTGTATTTGGACATTGAGTGATATAATTTTAGAAGTCAATTTAGGTCTTTATCTTTAAATTTTGAGTTTAATAAAATCAGAAAAAAATATAAATACAAAATTAAAAAAAAAGAAAAAAAAGAAAAGAAAACAATTTAAAAAGAAAGGGGGTTGTCTTAATAAGAGACCGGAATTGGGCCTTTTGATTCATTAGTCTTAGCCCAAACCCGTCCAGCCCCAGGCCCAAATTAACTCCAAACCCGGTCCAGCCCTGGTGTTTCAAAACGGCGTCGTTCGGTTGTGTTTTGATCTCAACCGTCGATGTTTATCAATCGGACGGTCGAGAAGCCCCTCCCCCATAATATTTAACTGTCCGAATCGATCCCTACCCCCCTCGGTCCGTCTCTTTCATTCACACCCCTATCCAAACCCTAGAGACGCCGCCCTGTTACACTCCGTCGAGCCCGCCGGCGGCGACGACGGAAACCACTCCGTTCCCACCCAAAATAATACCGTAGCTTCCCCTCGTTCCCCTCTTTCTAAATATACCTTCAGTTCCCCTCGAATCATTGCCCATCTCTTCGAATCTTCATTTGAATATCCGGCCAAAACCCTAATTCTCCCAAATCCGGTCAGAATTACACCACAGCCTCGCCTTAACTTCCTCATCTCGAGTGTCCAAGCCATTTCCCTCGAATCCCCGCTGAGTTCCTCGAATTTCAAATCAAAGTCTGGCCTAAAACCCTAAAATACTCCAAATCTAGTCAAATCGACATCACGTGAGCTCCTCACTCTCCTCATGAAGAATCCACCGATGGCGATGTTCGAATCTTGCTGGAATGGGTCGAATTTCGAATCTGGGGAGCGGCAGAATCTTAGGTCTCCATAGGTAAGGTGTTCTTTGTTATTCTTCATTAGTTTCTTCGTGTTGACTGATATTTCTATCCGATTAATCAATTTAGGATTTATTTTATTTTTCTTTTGTCAGTTCGTTTAAAATAGTATTCGATTAGGTTAGTCTGATTTTATTTGTTTGTTCTTCATCCTCTTTTGATCAATAGTGGGGTTTGGTTCGTTAATTCAATTGTGTTTGGTTGCTTTCAATTTAGGGTTAAGCATGTCATGATTAGTTTAAAGGCGTTTCTGCTGTTTCGTTTAATTTCTGCAAGTTTTAATAGGTTTGATTCTGTGTTAGCCAATTAATTACTGCAATTAGATTTAGCTGTTAAATGTAGTTCATTAATAGGATTAACTTCATAATTGGTTTAATTTGTCCACTTAGTTTGATTTTAGGAGATTGTTCACTCATGAACATTTGATTTAGAGCTTATTTAGTTAACCATAGTTAAAGGGATTGTTTGGGTATAGCTGATAGGTTTGATTAGGGGGAAATAAGGCTGAGGTACACTTTGGTGTTAGATTGGTAGTTTCAGAACAATTCAAGGGTAAATGAGGTAATTCAAGGGTAGGGAATCTAGCATTAACTGAAATAGAACTTCCTAGAAGTT